GTTGTTTTAGAAATTAGGAATTTGACTATCATGATTTAATTAAATTCAATTTTATTGTTTAAATGACCTAATCAAGTTTTTGAATTGGTATATGTAACGATCAAGTTATATTGTATAACATGTATAATTATGGATCATTTGGTTGAGAATTGAAACCTAGGGAAATTAATTAGTTTATTTAATTAATTTTCATTTCTTTTGGTATTAAGGATTTAATCATGTATTTGACCTTGGTTATATGTTTAAATCATGATTTTGGATTTTTATTCAATGCATGAATTTATGTTTTCAATATTGAATGATATTGCCATAGCGTGTAACGAATCGCACACTGAAAATTTGACATTGTCATGCCTTAGTAGTTGTGGATTTAGAGCATGTATTGTATGAGTTTCCAAATTCGGTTGTGCATGGTAGATAGTTGATTATCTTGTATATAGATGTTGATATATACGTTGTTGCATAACTTGTTGACTTTGGAAACTTGGGAATGTCATTGTTTGACTATGACTAGGATATGGTTCTAGTACGGGGGATTGTCCCTCTACAGTCTAGTGCGCACATAGGGAGGTTTACCATGGGCTAGTAACCCTAAAGTAACTATGGTGTCGGTCTAATCCGGCGTGATGTCCAAGTATCCACTTTGTTTGATTTCGCATTTCATTTCAAGTTGATAACTAGATGATATCGTAATTTGTTGTCCCTTAATTGTTTTCCCACTTTGGGTTTCAAGATGTTAACTTTGAAAAATCATATTTTATGCGTTGTATTGGAAGTTCCAATGTTGGTTAAATTGCATCAATATTGTGATTTGTGTTTTGATATTCAAATGTAACTTAGGATGATTCCTTAGACTCATTGAAACATAGACGCTATGTGGCATGACCCACTTTAGTTGTTCTCGTATCTTAAGTTGCAAGTTGATACTTTTGAGAACCTATATCTTGTTGCTTTATACAACATGTTTCTATGTTGTTTAAATTGCATGAATGCTGTGATTTATACTAGAAATGATCTAAGATAGCTTAGGATGATCCCTAAGTCTCACTTTAACATAGACGTTAGGTGGCATGAGCCCCTCTAACACGTTTCACCTTAAGGTGATATAATTACAAAATGCTTGGTCGATGCATGCTCATCTCCTACGAGTAGCTTTATATTACTCACCCACGTAGTGGGGACATTTTTCAGGTACAGGGACCTTGATTTGGGATGCACACTAAGCCATGGAAGTTGCGTAGTCTTGAAGTATCATTTTCATGAAAATGTTGGCATGAACTCCTATTTGTAACTTTGTATGTCAAAACTTGTACCTTCGATTCCATATATGTAATGTATACATAAGTACACTCTTTTCACTATATTTGACATGTATGAGTTGAGACCATAGGCCAATGTCATCAAATATGTATTCTATGTACTTTCGTTTTCAAGGTTTACTATGGAAATAATGGAAAATGTTTAGATTTTGCCTCACCATATTTTCATCGGGCATGGGAATTCAATTCTTTTTCTTTCATAGGGTCTCCATGATTATGAATGAGGTGTGGCCAAAGGCCAAACACCATTTTATTTTAGGCTTTGCATTTTAGTTTCATTCATTGTGTTTTAAGGCATTTTTTACCGTTGAGAGGTCATATTTTGCATTTAGGACATTTTGAGGCCGCAGACCATTAGAACGCGTCTTAAATGTCTTTTTACGTTTGCGTGTATGTCCACATTTCACAAAACTCTTAAGTTCAACTTTTGAACTATTTTTGGGCGATTTTATGAATTTTCATGAAAATTTATGCTTTGGGGTATCATTTTAAGTTTCCTTTTGTTTAACATGTTTTGGATGCTTGCATGAGGTTAGGAAATGTTTTCAAACGTGTTTGGATCATGTAGAATGCATGTATAGCCTTAGAGACGGACCAAGTATCACACACACACACACATTGCAGCAGCTTTTTCTGCTGCAGCAGATGTGTCGGTCGGCTGATAAGGACCCATCAGCCGGCTGACCAAACTCTTGAGACCATTCCAGTAGGCTTTTTAGGAAAAATCTCATTTTGGTCGACTGATGATTGGGGTTCGATAGACCGACGGTTGAGTTTCGGCCGACTGATGGTTGCATTTCGGTTGACCGATGCTCCCTGGGACCGTCTTCTTCATCTTTTCCTTGGACAACTTTGTTATTCCAACTTTGGGGAATCATATCTCTTTCATTTTTAATCCAAATCTGGTCATTCTTGAGTCTAAGTTCAAGAGCTTGAAGTTAGCTTTCCAATGGTACTAACCACTTATCAAAACTCCACCTATAGTGTGAGTTATTCTAATTTTAGTGAGATAGGTTGGTGGTAACTCTTAAACGGCGAAGACCACTTTGTTTTAATTTCATATCTTTTCCGTTTGGACTCAGAGTCAGGCGATTCTTGAGTCCAACTTCGTTCATTTTTTGTTGTCTTTCCAATGGTGTGCACGGTGGCACCCATTTCAGTGTGAAATGACCATTTTGCCCTTAATTAATTTCTTTTCGGGTTTGGCATTCTTGCTTCATTGCTTGGCTCATTTGAGTTCCGTGACTTCAGGGGGAGTTATCTTGGTGCCTTAGAGATGATGTACGTCTCTTGAGGCCATCTTGCTTCTTTTACTTCTGCATTTCGGATCTGTTATCGGGGCATCTTTTGGTTCATCACAGGACACACTGGGTTGAAAAATCCAGGATCGTTACACAATGTTTTTCTGGAGTTGTTTTTGCAGTGCATGCAACCACTTCTTTCTTCTTCTCATCATCCCTGAGATTAGAAAAATCAAGAGGATAAATATTGTTATCAAACATTTTTTAAAACAATATTAATTTTTATCTCCTTTGTTGTACAACATGCATCTGTCATCTTCAAACATAACTGAACAACCTTTCTTGAGTAATTGTCCCAAACTGACCAAATTTTGAGCTAAACCTGGAACATATAAAACCTCATCAATCAAATTTTTTACCAAAATTTGTATTCACTGCAACGGTTCCTTTGCCTTGAACTTACACCTTTTTGTCGTTCCCCATACGGACCTGAGACTTTACACAGATTCATCAAGTTTAACAAAAATAGATTTCTCCGGTTATAAGGTTACTACATCCACTGTCAAGATACCACATTTTTTTGCAGTGGCATTGAGGCAAGATATGAATAGATGTTCATCATTAGCATTTTCATCTTCAACTTTTTCTTCATCAACTCTTTCCTAATGAAAGTTAGCTTGATTTTTAGGATTATACCAACAGTCTTTTTCATTTTGTCCATTTTTTTCACAAAAGGAACACTGAGGGATATTATGATTCATATTTTTGTACCAACAATCCTGTTCAATATGACCCATTTTTCTACAATAAAAACAAATAGGAATTTCACAATTACCTTTATTGAATTGTCTCCCTTTTCCATTGAATTGCTTCCCTCTTTTAAACTCCAATTTTGTTTGTAAAGCCTACTCCACTTGACTTTCTGTAGACCTATTTAATCTTTCTTCATGCATTTTTAGTGATCCCATGAATTGAGTAAAGGACAACTTAGATAAATCTTTTTACTCCTCAATTGTAGCTACGACACTATTGAATTTAGGAGTTAGACTTCTCAAAACTTTTTCAATGATTTTTTGATCATTCAAATTTTCACCAAGAGATTTTGCTTGATTAACAATAGCAGTAACTTTAATTAGGTAAGCATGAATTGACTCATAACTTCTTCTTTTTTTCCTAGTTGGATACTCACACACACATGCCTACATGTAGGCTCGAACCCCTGACATCTCTTTAAGAAGTAGGGACTTGGTACCGCTAGGCCACTGGCCTATTGGTAATTGACTCATAACTTTTCATCATCAATGTTTTAAACTCACGATAGAGAGTCTATAACCTTAAAGCAATTACCTGACTCGATCCTTCGGACTCATTCTGAAGCAACTCCCATACTTCCTTGGATGTTTTGGCTCCCATTATTCTTGGAAAAATAGTGTCGTCTAACCCTTGTTGGATATAGGACAAGGCCTTGGTATCTTTCTTCTTATTTTCTTTCAATGTTGTTCTTTGTGCAGCAGTAACTCTCTCTTCCTGATTATCATTTTCTACAGCAACCATTCTCAACTAGTTCCCACAAATCAAGAGAAATAAAAATTGTTTTCATTTTAATAAATTAAAACTGGTAATTTTCACCTTTGAAAGTAGGAACAATTGGATGAGAGTTGTTATTACATGTTGCGGCCATAGTTTATTTTTTACCTCAACCTTGTCTTACGCTTTTGTGTAATCCAGTTGATCATCGACGATTACAATCACTTTATTTAAATAGGCAAAGAACGTAATCATCTTAATGATATAAGTGCTACCATATTTAAACTCTAACAACCTAACCCATATCAATTATTTTATTCAAATTCAAAAACCTAACTCACAAGACAACACTAACGTGATATGTTAAATTTGAATTAACTTTCAACATTGAGATGCAACGGTCTCAGCTGCAGCGACCATAGGGTTCTTCTGGTGATCCTAGTTTCGAGTGAAGGCTCCTTGGAACGAGCCTTTCCTTGTGAACAAGATGACTATGTTGCTTTTCTCAACCTTGGTGCTTCCTGCCCTGAGCAGTTTTGGTGTTCTTATGACGGGCTCGAATTTGACAGTTTTGGAAGACAACAGTACCATCACCAAATATGAAGTCAACGGTTCCAGTGACTAAATTTTTAGGACTAACAAATAGAAGTGGGCTTAATATAGTTAAACCCAGAAACCTGGCCCAAATCCAGACTTGGCAAAAGCCTACAAACCAAACATTTACAACATAACATGCCAAAGAACTTAGGAGAAGCCCAACCCAACTCAACCCAACCCAACCCAGCTAACTAACTCTCAAAATTCTAGAATTCCCATACTACTCAGGACATTGCCCTGTGTGGATCCAGAGCATTAATCATCTGAATTGATGGAGAAATGGAAATGCTTGGAATGAATAAGGACTTGATTCGCATAAGAAATCCAGAGCATTAATAATATTCAGAATCGCTTTAAAAATAGAATTTATCACAAAAGAGAAGACAATCAATTAAAATAAAAAATAAATAAATACATCAAAATACTTCACAGAAGTTACGTAAACATCAAAGATAAAGGATCCTGAATAATAAGCAAAACATAAGTAATATATATATACGAGTCTATATACAAGTCTTCATCTTTACAACATTCCTCTTCATCAACCTTTCTCCGCTTCCACCTTTCAGATATGGTTGCCACCTAGTGATTAAGCACAAATGAAATTTATCAGACTCATTCAAATCTAATTATTAATTAACTATTATCTAATAACGAGTGTTAAAATTAAAATTTTCTAATATAGGTTGAAATTCCATTTTTTTTTTCCCGGTTTTTGAGATACAAAATTAACTCCTACCCTCTCTATATGTATAATGGACATATAAAACTATAGATCACCAAGATTAAATTGAAATTCCATCTATTAATTTACAAAGAAGAAGAAACGAAGATTAGAAGAACAAGTAATCTATACATGACGTTGAATCCATGAAACATACAAATCTAAAACCGTTACACATAAATAGCCAAACATAAATAAATAAATAACAGAATTTTCAAACTTAAAAGCACAAAATGCATCCAGTATTCATCATTAGAAGCAATTTTGCCACATACACCGTTAAAATGAAAATCAAAACCACAATATACATTGAAAAACATATAGTTGTTGCGGCAAAGTAAATTTTTCTCAAAGAGAAAAAGAGGAATTTTTTTTTCTCCTAAATGCAATCACTTTACCTCATATATATATATATATATATATATATATATAGTTAGAGAGAGAGAGAGAGAGAGAAGGACTGAGAGATGAGCTCGAGCCAAGAGAGAGGGAGAGCGTCTTCCTTCGGGCCAAAAGATGTTGAGAGAGAGAGATCGAACATGGTCTGGTTAGAGAGAAAATGTTGAGGTTGTCAGAGCAAAGGCTGCAAAGATCGTGTAATTTACAAAAAATAATAATAATAATAATAATGTGAGTTTATTTAGTAAAGTTGGTGGAGAGGTCGGTAGCTAAGGTAGGTCCATTTCCAAAAGGCACTTCAATAATGAGGGTGTTTTTTTTCATATAGTTGTTGCGGCAAAGTAAATTTTTCTCAAACAAAAAAAGAGGAAATTTATCCACAATAATGTTTTTTTTTTTTTTTTTTTTAACTCCTAAATGCAATCACTTTACCTCATATATATATATATAGAGAGAGAGAGAGGACAGAGAGAGAGAGAGAGAGAGAGGGAGAGACTGAGAGATGAGCTCGAGCCAAGAGAGAAGCAGAGCGTCTTCCTTCGGGCCAGAAGATGTTGAGAGAGAGACAGATCGAAAAGGTTGAGGTTGTGAGAGCAAAGGCTGCAAAGATGGTGTAATTTACAGAAAAAAGGTGAGTTTATTTAGTAAAGTTGGTGGAGAGGTAGTCCTTAAGGTAGGTCCATTTCCAAAAGGCACTTCGATAATGATGGTGTTTTTTTCAAGCTGAGAGTCCATTTTGCTGAAATTTTAAGTCCTTAACTTCATCTAACTGTCAAATGAAATCTAAAGGTCCACTTATTTGTAATTTTTCCTATATTTAGTAAAAGAAAAGACGGACTAAATTATATCTAGAGAACATAATAAAGCAAAGCAGTATTTTGGGATTGAAGGTTGGAAGAGGATTGGAAAAGTCCACGATAAAAAACTTGGAATAGATTTTTTAATGAATGGAAATTTGATTCGAATTTGATTTAATAATTCGGCTATAAATTAAAACATTTAATCTGATCCAAAATTAATAATTCCTTTAATGCTGCGAGCATAAAACTTACATATTATTAAAATGATTTTTACTACTCTTTTTTTTCTTTTCTTTTTTTTTTTTTTTTTGTCTTATCCTCTCTCTCTTTTATTTTTTATTTTTTATTTTTTATTTTTCTTAATCAGTTTGTGATTTTTAAATTTTTTTTTTTTAAATTTTAGCAAAAACTTATCAAATCCAATATCTAATTAATAACAAATTGAATATGAATTGACTCATAAATAATTTATCGGTTATAATCGACTATAACCTTTATCGAATTAGGACCGAATTGTATTTTTTCTGGTTCAAACCCGATCAATATATATGCCTTAATTGAAAATATAATTAAAAATACATAAAATTTTGGAGGATTACTTTTAAATTTATTTTTTTAAAGTCAATGTTTTTTAAATAATACTCTCTCTCACCCAAAATAAATGTCCACTTTGAAAATACCTTAATTGAAAGGATAATTACAAATACATGAAATTTTGGAGGATAACTTTGAAATTTATTATGTCAAAGTCAATGATTTTTGAATAATAATCTCTATGTACTAAAATAAATGTTGAAGTAGATATTTATTTTGAAACAGAAGAGACATGTTTTAGAAAGTTTGGTGTAAATATAAATGAAAGAACTATTTATTTGCCTAAATTACTCTTGTTGTGTTCACATATCAACTTTATGCACAAAGGTATAATGCATGTAGCAGCTTTTAGAAAAATAATAATTTTTAAAAATGTTAACTTTAACTTTATGAATTTAAAAATTACTCTCCAAAAATCCAAATTTAAATATTTGTTGACTATCTTATGTCATTCATATTATTTAGGTCCTATATCTCTCTCTCTCTATATATATATATAATATTCAATCATACAGTACTAAATTCTCTCTTTTCTCTTTTCTCTCTCTTCAATCATGATGGATTGTCTCTTTATCTCCTCTTTTCTCTCTCTATATATTTTTAATTATAAAAGAGTCTCTGTCTTCTACTTTATTGTCTTTCTGTCTCTCCGTATTTTGGTCAACCATGCATTAATTCACCAAACACTTCACACGCTATAAACAAACAAAAATAAAATTAAAAACTGAAATAAGAAGAAGAGAATTTTCGTCACTTTCAGTGATGGAAGCGGCCAAACCCGATGGATCTGCCACCCACGGAACACTCCCTCTGCCGCGAGGCCTTCAGGTTTCCGGTAACCAGCTGCGGTTTTTTGTGGGATGAAAATATATACGAAGAGAATAGAAGATCACCCTCACCGAGTCACCTTTCTGTACGTACCACGTTATTCATTGCATGACTACTCAAAATTTAGTACTAATTACCAATGATAGAATAGAGATCACAATCTAGCTTTCACACAAATATATATATACTCAAAATTCATATATATTCTTGTTGCAACAACTCATATATGACTCACGTACCTCTGGCAACTGATGCATTAATTAATGTAATTTGCAATCTCCATCTTCAGGAATATAATTAGTGCAAGGATTAGGGCTCGGAAATTTCACAGGACCTTTCTGATCAATTGATACACCGTTCGCCGGCTTTGCCACCTTCACAACATTCAAATGTCTTGCAGCCTCAAGAGGCTTTGGAGTCAAAATAATGGTCATCATCAATAACAAAACCATACTCATCAATTTCATTCTAACTGTATCTATCTATATATATATATATAATGAAAGCTGAAAATTATAAAAATGATATGCAGCGAGTTATAGAGAGAGAAGTTATATGAATGAGTAAGGTGTAGAGAGATCTCTACGGAGTTCATTAATCATTATATAGAGCAGCAAGAAGGAGGGTATCTGGTTTCGGTTTCATTTCTGCGCAACTACAAGAGCCGTTATTAATTTAATTCATGCCGCGTGTCAACTGTCAAATGGATAAAATCAAAACTATAAAGTACCCGAAAACGTTGTCTGGTATGTTTTATTTGATCCAAAATGCCGTGTACAGCAAAGCATAATGAAACTACCAAAATACCCTCCTTCTTGCTGCTCCAATATAATATATATTTACTTTCAATTAAAGTTGCGTAATTTGTAAGGTTATGTTTTATAAGTTCTCTCACTGCGTCTTATAAAGTGAAATAGTGAATTATTGTTATTTTATTAATTTAAGTTTGCGGCTATAAGTTTACGCGCCTTTTGTATAAAGCATACCAAATGAGGACGTGGTGTACTTGAAAACGTACATCTTATTTTGCATATATATATATATATATAGTTATAAAAAAAGTGTGTAATATATATGCAATCTTGCATTGTTGCTGAAATTTCATCTACCAATGTTTCAAAAAACTTGCAAGCAGCAATATTTCTGAGAATTGAAGATACACCATCACAGGTAAAAGAAGGAACATGAACAAGTAGTTAATTATCATTAATCCGAAGAGGGGAAATTTAGTGATTAGAATTGAACCAATAATCCGAAGAGGGGATTCGGTGCCTTTGTCCAATATCTATCACTAGGATATTGGTCGTTGCAACAAATATATAAAAAATAATAATTATTGTTGCATAAGTCATTTTAATTTGAAAAAAATTATTACATAAGCGATTTAATAGCATACAATGCAACACATTTGGATTTTTGAAGATGACTTGTACTTTGACATTAAAAAACCGGTCTTATGTGAAATTAAAGTAACTCAAATGATTAATTTTGTGGGTCCTCCTGTGCAAACTAGTTTCTCTCTTCATGGTTCATGATACGGCCTGTGTTTGTGTGTGTACTGTGTGCATACACCACACACATATATATCGTGTGGATTAAGGAGGTCACTTCTTGAAGAAGAAATGAATGCGGGTGTCACATCATTTCCTTTATGCAGATAATGTAGTACGTAGTAGTGTAGTACATGATTTACGTGTTGACGGTGTTGTTGGTCTAATTGGTTTCGTCACATTTGCGTTCGCATGATGGTTGCCAGCAAGGTGTTTTGGGTTGGGTGGGTGGGTGGGTGCCCTTGGGCCTGGCCCAGCCCAATACATATAAATACACACATAATTTTTATTTTTTATTTTTTAATTTTATTTTTTGGACATATCTATAAATAATTTGACAAAATGTCTTCCTAAAATTTTTAATTTATAAAAAAAAAAGTGCTTAGTTTTTTTTTTTTTTTTTTTTTTTTTTCGAATTCATTTGATTCCCACCCTTAAAAAAAAAGTTACATTTTAGAAACATAATATCTAAAATTTGATTACTCTTGGTGCAAACAATTTATTGAAGGAACAGAGTGTGAATGCCAACGAGAAAAGAAATAAAAAAAAAAAAAAAAAAGAAAAGAAAGAAGAAGAAGTATCTTCATTCTTTTAAAAAATTTTAGTGTAATTTTAATACCATCATACCTCGTACTTTTTGTCACTTTCTGCCCATCATCTGTAACTCCACCATTGATCGAACGACTCATTACCTTTCTTCTCTTCTCAGTCTTTGTGTATATATTTTTTGTTTCTTTTTTTAAATATTCACTTATTTGGTGACTTGTTTTCTTTGGATAGGCAAAGTACTAAGGGATAAAAAAAATTTAAAGTTCTCTTCTTGATTGTTTAGTATTCATCCAATGCATTTTCAAACTTAAAAGCACCAAATGCATTTAGTATTCATCATTAGAAGCAATTTTGCCACATACACCGTTAAAATGAAAATCAAAACCACAATATACATTGAAAAACATATAGTTGTTGCGGCAAAGTAAATTTCTCTCAAAGAGAAAAAGAGGAATTTTTTTTTCTCCTAAATGCAATCACTTTACCTCATATATATATATATATATATATAGCTAGAGAGAGAGAGAGAAAGAGAAGGACTGAGAGATGAGCTCGAGCCAAGAGAGAGGGAGAGCGTCTTCCTTCGGGCCAAAAGATGTTGAGAGAGAGAGATCGAACATGGTCTGGTTAGAGAGAAAATGTTGAGGTTGTCAGAGCAAAGGCTGAAAAGATCGTGTAATTTACAAAAATAATAGTAATAATAATAATGTGAGTTTATTTAGTAAAGTTGGTGGAGAGGTCGGTAGCCAAGGTAAGTCCATTTCCAAAAGGCACTTCAATAATGAGGGTGTTTTTTTCATATAGTTGTTGCGGCAAAGTAAATTTTTCTCAAACAAAAAAAGAGGAAATTTATCCAATAATGTTTTTTTTTTTTTTTTTTTTTTTTTTTTTTGCCTCCTAAATGCAATCACTTTACCTCATATATATATATATAGAGAGAGAGAGAGAGGAGAGAGAGAAGAGAGGGAGAGACTGAGAGATGAGCTCGAGCCAAGAGAGAAGCAGAGCGTCTTCCTTCGGGCCAGAAGATGTTGAGAGAGAGACAGATCGAAAAGGTTGAGGTTGTGAGAGCAAAGGCAGCAAAGATGGTGTAATTTACAAAAAAAAGGTGAGTTTATTTAGTAAAGTTGGTGGAGAGGTAGTCCTTAAGGTAGGTCCATTTCCAAAAGGCACTTCGATAATGAATGTGTTTTTTTCGAGCTGAGAGTCCATTTTGCTGAAATTTCAAGTCCTTAACTCCATCTGACTGTCAATTGAAATCTAAAGGTCCACTTATTTGTAATTTTTCCTATATTTAGTAAA